TTCACCTTCATTACAGGCCATATCAGATTTCAAAGTAATTTACAACAGCCTTCGCCATCCCAATTCTAGATGTACCGGGCATTTCCTAACCCAGTCCTTAGTTTAACCCAGTGGTTCCCAAAGTGGGGGGCGCAGACTCTGAGACAAACTGATGCCTTGTCGGGTTAAATCTCTACCTCTAGAATAATGTGTCTACAATTAGATTCAAATGACTTGAAAGTGTCTTAGATGGAAAGTGCGTCCCCTCAAAGAGAAACTCTCACTGTTTCTCTGTTTCTGTGTGTTTCAGCCGCTGACTCTGGTGCTCAGGTGATGGTGATCCACGATGACGACAGCAGCCGGAGCAGCGACAGCGACAGCAGCATGGTGTCCATCGGCAGCAGCCTGAGCTCGGTGGTCTCTGTGGACACGTACAGCAGCGTCCACCTGGACTCCAGCACGCCCTGCAGCGAGTCTGACGATAGTCAGGATGTGTTTGGCGTTTAGCCCTGCAATGTGAATTGGACTGTTTTTGGTGTTAATGTTTGGGTTTCATTGGATTGTTCCCAGATAGTACGTGGAGGTTGCTCTCATCATTGAGTCCCTTTACAGGATTCTGATAAGGTTTACGTGTTTCTCTTTGTAAAATGATCAGTTGTCTCTTTTGCTTTATTTTTCAAAAAAATGGAATAAAAATGTTTCTTCCTATGCATTTTTGAATTCACATGTTGATTTTGTCCAAGCATTGTTTCCTCAAGTGCCGTCTACTACAAAACAAACTCATATGTTGTGACGTGTTAAAGCTTTTATCAGAGAGACAGAGGGCTGACAGTTTAAGGGTCTAATCAGGGTTTCTGTTTCTAGCTGTGTTAGTAGCATGACTTTATGAATGGCAATATTGTTCTATACTGTTCACCACTTTTGTCCAGGCTAGATATCTAGAAAAGCATTTGATAGATTTAGAAGAATTTTGTACATTCGTAGTATTCTCAGGAACCTAAGGCTTTTTTTGTAGTACCTCCAGCAACTCACTGTTTTCTTCTATCCTGCAAACTATTTCAGTAACTTCTAGATATAAAACATTATTTTTTAAATGCTCAGTAGCTACTTTCGCGTTCTCTACATGTACCTGAAATTCTCATCAGCCTTTGCTGTGCTTTGTGTTAAGCCCGAATGAGCATGAGCTGTTATCATGCTAACACACTGAACTAGCATTTAGCTAAAGCACCACTGTGCCGAAATACAGCCTCGCACTGCACACTCATTTACTATCACTGCACAGCCTGCAAAGGTACATGTTAAAATGTATTTTTTGATTAGACCAATTAGGTTGGCAAAAAATAATAGTTATGTCATGATACTTTTTTTATTGTTGTATTTTTGTTCATTCAGTGGTGCCCTGCTTTCTGTTCTTCCCCATGCCCTCTGAGAGTCGCTCCTAGGAGACACGAGCTGTGGGGCTTTGCTCAAAGGCTCCTGGGCCGGGCGTTAATCACTCCCACTGGCAACTCTCCTGAGATATCCTCATGCTGCATCACTGCTCCTCACTTACACCAAAATAGATATTATTTGTAGAGCTGCTGAGATAATCAATCAGTTGTCAACTATTGAATTAACTGTCTACTATTTATTTATTTTAATTGGAAAAACAGTCAATATTCTTTTACTTCAGCTTCTTTAATATGATGGACAAAAACTTTAGTTGAATAATCCAGAAAAAAATGCAGGAGTAAAATTGTGAGAAATTGGCACCATTTAGAAAAAGCAAAGTTGTAGATTTTTTTTTTTTTTTTTTAAGTAGAGGTGCATGGGGTTGTTATTTGTGCCACTGATTTGATGCTAGATATATTATAACGTTAAAGGTTTTACAAAATATGAAGCATTTAGAGCTACGTGACAATGTGCACTACTGGAGTGGGCATTACATTCAAAAATAGATTTTACATCTTGGAAAGAAACTTCCCATTTTGCAAAATCACCCATTTTCTTGACAGCAACACACATGCTGTGTAACCTAGCAACTAATGCAACAGCACCTTGAGATCTGAATGTGTGTGTGTGTCCATTAAAAACTTGCCTATATGGGTATTTTTTAAGGCCAATATCAGTATATCTTTAGTCCAAATGTATTTTCACTTTGACTATACTTTTAAGCCAACTACAAACATAAAATCATGCATTTTGCAACTAATGTAAAATATATTATACCAATTTCTGGAAAGATAATTTGAATTGCGGAGTATGACATAGGCCTAAGTATTAATGTAATTCTGGATCTCACCTAGTGTATAATCAGTAAAAAATTGCATAACCCTTTCTGAGAAACTTCTCCCTGATTTGTGTTTGTTGACAGCTGAATCATGCTGCCTTGTTTAGGAAGTGAATTGTCTCCCTGATCAGCGAACCTTCCTGTGACACTTCTTGTTTTGGATTCAGATAACACCGTGCTTCATCCCACACTGACCCCCCCCCCCCCTCACAGAGAGCTGGCCTCCCATGCCGAGGATGTCACGGCAGTCCAATAAAGCTGGAGTACGAGGGGAGCGTGTGTCTGTCAGTCTGTATTACATGAGGACGACAGAGATGGAGGGCCTCTGGGCTACAGTCAGCTTCTCAACCCTCAGACTCTGGGAGCAACCTGAAGTCAGTAACAGCACCCTCTCTCTCTCTGATGTCTTTGTCTCTTGTCCTTTTGGTCATTTTAAATTGCATTCTACTTGTTTGGTTTCTCTTTTTGTAAAGTGTTTTGCATCACTTTGTAGACATTTGGAGTGTCTTTGTGGTTGAATGATGTCCCTTTTTGGTGGTTTTGTCTCTCCTTGTGATCATGTCACCTCTCTTTGTGATAATTAAACAATAAATTAGATTAGATTAGAATTCCTTTATTGTCACTACACAGAGTACAGCGAAATTCCAAGCATTCCCGATGGTGCAATCACACATAACAGACAGTATTATCATTTTTGACAATACAAGCTAAACATTTTTAATGTATAATATATAGTGACTATAATTGGACCTATGATACATTGAACAGTACACCATTTTGTACCATACAAATACAATCACAATACGTTCAAGGCAGTAAAAAATGTAAACAAGTCAATAAGTAAGTTATTGCACATGTATTTATCAGTGCAGTTGATAATTAGAAAACTAGAAATAAATATGTGTTCTATAAAAACGGTATGAGGTGGTGAAGTTGGATGTAAACATGTAATTAGTTGAGCTTGAGCATAAGTTCAGTTCAGTTCCATTTGTGCTGTGATTGTCTGGCTGTGATCAGCTCATGGCATTGGGGTAG